TGGTGTTCATGCATTCTTCATTTTGCTTTTCTCCATTGTACTACTGGACAGACTTTGCTCAGAGAATCTCAAACTTCGTGTGAATTTTTTTAAGATTTCATTGCCCTTCAGCGTTTTCTTTCCAGGGCAGGAACTTGACTGTGCTGTTTAGTTCTTATCACACTTACATACTTGCGTAATTTATAGGTGGCCTTTCAACTTTTTTATGGTAGAAATATTAATCTCTTATTTGAGCATGTAAGTACAAATTCCTAAATTTGAAGAGAAGTGATGTAAGTTCTTGCACTTTGTTTTAGGAAACAGAATGTTACAACTTTTCAGTTAGGGAGAACTGTAAGAGACATTGCAGAGCAGAATTTGGTTGGTGGCGAAATTAATTGGATGTGGAAGAATAAAGTTGATGAAGTGTTGAAATAGGTAATGGTGAACATTTAAAATCTAGAACAGTGGACCCCAAGCTTTCTTGCACTGTTAAGTCCAATTATCAAAATTTTCTATTAATCACTATGTTACTGGTGTATGATCAGACATTTAACACAAAGCATTTGAAAGGTAATGTGGTTCTACAGGAGCAGTGATTTGTTAAGCATTAATTAAAACAATGGACAGTTTGCCTGTACGCTAATTTCCCTTCTGTGTAAAATTATAGCTTTCCTTCTTTAGGATTCATAGTTCATTCAAATTTAGATCAAGAAAGTAGAGGCCATGAGGTGGAGTAGGGGACAAGGCTGGCAGGTTTGGTGGTAGAATGGATGCCTGAGGGTGGCTGCACTCAGAACCACATGTGGTTATGGCTGTTAGGGAATAGTGCTGGATGGCCACAGCAGAAGACAAAGGTGAGAATGCTGGTGGCCTTGAGTATGTTCGTAAGACTGAAAACTTTGTGTATAAAGCAAAAGGCAAGGGCATGTCAGATTAATCAAATTTGATATCCCTTCTTCCATTTATTAAAGAAAAATCAGTCAAATATTAAGAGGCTGTTGTAAAAGCAATTGGGATTTGTACAGGCAGACTGAAAGAACTGGATTTTTGCAAATGTGGGAAGAACTGTTGCTACTTGTACTTTAAAAAGAAAAAGACATAAATACCAGTGATTCGATTATGGTAACATCAGGCTTGTTCTGGCAGACTCAGGGTAAGGGAAAAATTATCTTTAATATCAGACTCCATATTCAATTATATATGCACTTTGTAGAATGAATTCACTCCATGACTCCAACATGGTCATACCAATTCAAACTGTTTTTCTCTTCCAGGAAACGGAAAATAACACTCATTTAATTGCAACAGTTATTTTTTGTGAAATTTTGTTTGTAGAGGTCTGATTTTTCTTTCTTAATTTTCAAGTGGACTATCTTTGTGATGTTTACTGAATTCTTAAATTCTTACTCGTGATCTTTAAATTAAATAGGCTAAATTGCCTATTACAGGCTTCTGTCTGCTGTATTCTCTTCCCCGCTCCCATTTCTGGGTAACAGATGAATGTGGCATAACTTGGGCATGAATTGGATAGAGAATCTGTTAGAGAAAACACTTTAAAACCTTTCTGCGTTCACTGTTGAGTCTGTTTTTTTCCTGCCTTCATTGAACCAGATCATATCTGAAGACATCTGCATCTGACTGTTGATTGTAGAAAAGGAAACACATGTTATCTCTGTAAAATTTAAACCTAATTTGTTTAAGTTTTTTCTCTCCTTCTATTGCAGTATTGCTTAGGAGGACTTTATGATAGTGAAAATATAATTGAAAGCTTCTAGTAATAAACATGCCAAATATTTTAAAGCATACTGGGGAGCTATTAACGATGTTGCTTCACTTCCTCTATCTATTGCATGATGGTAAACACGGTGTTTTGAAGGGACTTTGCAAGTTTTAAAGTCTTTGCTTTCATTTGATATTTTAAAAACGTCATGCCTTTTTTTTTTTAATGGAATGCTTGTTTTAAAGAAATGAATATGCCAAATTTTAAATTCTGTGTAGATAGTCACATTATATGCCTGTTTTCACAAGCTGGTCATTTTTGATAGTTGAAGTTGTTTCTCATTTCATTTCGCAACAGTTTGAGGTTTGTGGTTTCACAGGTTTTGCTGCAGTAATCATTAAATCTGCTACTGTGTTAGGAGAACCTGAAAAGTGAAGTTCAGAAAAGGCTTTTACGTAAGACAGTAAGGCTTTACTTCGATACTTTCTTGTGTTGCAAAATGAGGTTTTCTGTACAAAAATATCTGAATTATTTTGAGATGCTCATTGCTGTGTTAGGTAGTTCTTATAACTTCACTGAACAGCATAGACAATGGAAAGTGGTCAAGAAATCGGTGTATTCTAACTGAATGAGTTTGATTTTTGAAGTGTGAAACGTGCGTGGGACTGGAACTTAGATTTGGACTAGATAAGTTTTACCTTTTTTCAGCATTAATAAAGTTTAAATCTGTTTATTTTTGTAATAGTCAGCATTTTTATCTTTTTACTGTGTTTTATCCCAGATTTCACCATCTTTAATGCAGCTTGGCCTTGTCCAGTCTTGTTTCCCATTGCATTCTAAACATGCTCTAAACAAAACAAGACATGTCAAGGGAATTCTGCCACGAAACCGAAATAATCAGTACGGGGACAGGCTACTTTAGAATGGTTCAATATTGTAAAATCATAGTGATGTATCTCATCTTTCTGGAGTAGGACTTCAACCATGCTGTTTCATTACCGATTTGGTGGGACGCATTGTGTCCAAAACACCCCGTTAAGTCACTGTCTGTTTGAGTTTGGTAAGAGCGGAAAAGGGCATTTTTTCAGCAAAATACTTTTCATATACATTTCCTTAAGAGTGTTTAAAACTAAACTTCTATATAGTTTTGGCTCAAAAAGCAGTTTGAGGCTGTTTTATGGCTGCTTTATTATGTGTTTAAAATTTCAGAAAGAAATTCTGTGTTGCAAGTTCAGGGACAAAGTTGTATACAGAACAATTTCAGAAGAGATAGCAACTCAGAGTAGTTGGTGACTCTTGAGCAGTAGTAACAGGTAGTGATAGTAGAATAGATACAGGACCAAGCATTACACTGTGAGATGGTAAAGGTACATGGTCCAGAGCACAGCCGGTATTGGTGCAGTAAGGGAGAAATTTGGTCCCTAACCGAAATTCTCACACTGGCAGAACTAGGTCTATAGCAGTTGAGACACAGCTCTGTCTTTGCTATTTATGTTTGCTTAGGGTAGTTACAAGCTAAGGCTAGGAGTAATTTGCTCACAGACTCATTATTGCTGTTGATGTAATCATATTTTGAATCAAGACTGTTCCACTGTGTGAATCAGGATGCTGTTGTCATAGATGTTGTAAAGTTGCCTTTGAGACCTTAGTCTTTGATGTTTTTGAAGGAAAGTAGGGGAAGTAAGCATCCAAAAGCCTGTGGTAATCTGATGTATAGCTTTCTAATGCCTTCTTTCTCTTACTTTCCAAAGGACTTTTACCTATAGATTCACACACTTAAAGAGTACATTCTGTAGAAACTGAAAAATTGGGGCTTACTGAGAAGAGAATCTGATAAGTTGACTACAAAAGATCCCACTTGAGTAGGATCCCCTACTTGAGTACTACTCGGTAGTAATTCCTTCTTTACCAGAGGTTTGCTAGCAGTACTTCTGGAGGCTGATTCCAGGCTTGATCTGTGTGTGTAAGAGAGAAAAACTGGACTTGAGAAGAAGAAATAAGTCAAGACTTATGTCTCTTAGGTTTGTTAATTCTTATTGTAGTTGTATCATTTAGAAGCACAAATTTAAGGCCCGGCTAATGTATTTTTTTAAACCTATTCAGTAAAATGTATACTCAAGCAATGTTTTTGTACTTCTTTGGTTACAAGAGTTGTGGGTGCTAATGTTTTTGTTGTGTGTTTTTCCATGGTGTTCATGAGTAAGTCCTACAGAATAATTGCCTAATAAAGCTATTGTGTATTAGCAGACTAGTATTGGAATCAGCAGG